GATCATGCCTTCTAGCCCTTCATCCACGTCATTAATAAAGATGTTGAACAGGACCGGGCCCAGGACAGAACCCTGCGGCACTCCACTCGTCACTTCTTTCCAGGATGAAGAGGAAGCATTGGTGAGCACCCTCTGGGTTCCTCCGCTTAACCAATTACAGATCCATCTAACTGTAGTTTTGCCTAGCCCACATTGGACTAGTTTGTTTGCCAGAAGGTCATGGGAGACCTTGTCGAAAGCCTTACTGAAATGCTACATCCACGGCATTCCCCGCATCTATCCAGCTTGTAAATCTATCGAAAAAAGAGATCAGATTAGTCTGGCATGACTTGTTTTTGATAAATCCGTGTTGATTATTAGCGATGACCACATTTGTTTCTAAATGTTTGCAGACCACTTCCTTAACAATCTTTTCCAGAATCTTGCCTGGTATCGACGTGAGGCTGACCGGATGGTAGTTGTTTGGGTCATCCTTTTTCCCCTTCTTGAAGATTGGGACCACACTGGCCCTCCTCCAATCTGCTGGAACTTCTCCCGTTCTCCAAGAACTCTCAAAGATGATTGCCAATGGTTCTGAGATTACTTCTGCTAGTTCCTTCAATACTCTTGGGTGTAGTTGATCTGGCCCCGGGACTTGAACTCGTTTAGAGCGGCCAGGTATTGTTTGCTTCCTGTAGCCAATTACAGTTAGCTGTTTGGCTCCTGTTCTTTGGGCCAATGGAAGTTTCTGAGCACTTTTGAAAGACAACCCTATGTAGAGTGAGTTACAGTAGTACAACCAGGATGCAACCAAGGCAGGTACCAATGTGTTGCTGAAAGCTTTCATGGCCGGAACCACTGGGTTGCTGTGAATTTTCCGGGCTGTTTGGCCAGATTCCAGAAGCATCCTCTCCTGATTTTTTGCCCACATCTATGGCAGAGGTTGTGAGGTCTGTTGGAACTAGGCAAGTGGGGTTTATGTATCTGTGAAATGTCCAAGGTGGGAGAAAGAACTTTTGTCTGTTTGAGCCAAGTTTGAATGCTGCAGTTGATCAACTTGATCAGCATTGAAAAGCCTTGCAGCTTCAAGGCATGTAACACTGTGACCAGATTTAACTTCTTCAGAAATAAGCATAGTTTGTGCACTAGCTATGCAAATCTGTGCAAAAGCACTCTAGGTCACTGCTGATACCTGGACCTCTAGGTTCAGAGCCAAATTCAGGAGTATTCTCAAACTGTGAGCCCGTGTTTTCAGGAGGAGTGAGACTCCATCTAACACAGATTGAATCGTGATTCCTAGATCTGTCTTACAACTGATCAGGAGCACCTTTGTCTTGTCTGAATCAGCCTTCAATTTGTTTCCCTTCATCCAATACATTACAACTGCCAGGCACCGGTTTAGAACAGAAACAGATTCCTTGGAATTAGGTGAAAAGGAATAGTAGAGCTGGGTGTCATCTGTGTATAGATGGCATAGCACTTCAAAACTCCGGATGACCTCTCACAGCAGGTTCATATTCATATATGTTGAACAGTATGGGGGACAAAACAGAACCCTGAGGGACCCCACAGACCAGTGGCCAAGGTGTCCAACAGGAACCCCCCAGTACCACCTTCTGAGACCATTCCTCCAGGAAGGAACAGAGACGCTGAAGAGCAGTACCTCCAAGCCCCATTCCAGTAAAGTGACTCAGAAGGATACCATGGTCGATGGTATCAAAAGCTGCTTTAAAGTCCTCTGTCCAGTTATCTGCATTGATCAGCCATCAATGCAACCAAAGCTGTCTTGTCCCATAACCAGGCCTGAAACTAGACTAAAATGCATCTAGATCAGGCACAGGCAAACTCCAGCCCTCCAGGTGTTTTGGACTTCAACTCCCACAATTCCAAACAGCTGGTAAGCTGGCTGGGATTTCTGGGAGTTGAAGCCCAAAGCACCTGGAGGGTTGAAGTTTGCCCATGCCTGATCTACATAATCCTCTTCATCTAGGAACCCTTTGAGTTTTATGTGCTATGCCCTGTATTTTTCAGCACATGAACAAACAGGTGTGTGTGTTTTGGGGCCTTTAGACATTTCCAACTATGCTGTATGACCAAAAGGCTCATAACTCCCTGCCACTATGAGGAAGATTGTAAAAGGCAAAAGATGTGCAAAATTTAGGACAGATTTGGAAGTTTTTTTTATCACACAATTGTCATGCTCATCCATTGACTCATAAAGGTTTCACAAATCAGACCATGGGTTGGCTTCTCTGCCAATAAGATAATTATTTCTTTACTGCTTCAAGGTTCCAGCTTGTCAATATTTTTTTTGAGTTTTGGTGCCCAAAACCGGACACAGTATTCCAGGGTTGGTCTGACAAGGCAGAATAGAGTAAGACTATTACTTCTTTTGATCTAGACCAGGAGTCCTTAAACTAAGGCCCAGGGGCCAAATACGGCCCTCCAAGGTCATTTACCTGGCCCTCGCTCACAGTCAACCTAAGTCTAAAATGACTTGAAAGCACACAACAACAACAACAATCATTGTATTGTCGAAGGCTTTCATGGCCGGAATCACTGGGTTGTTGTAGGGTTTTTTCGGGCTGTATGGCCATGGTCTAGAGGCATTCTCTCCTGATGTTTCGCCTGCATCTATGGCAAGCATCCTCAGAGGTAGTGAGGTCTGTTGGAACTAGGAAAACGGGGTTTATATATCTGTGGAGCTATTAATTATCTTATATATCTGTGGAGCTAGGAACTATTTTTCCTAGTTCCAACAGACCTCATACCTCTGAGGATGCTTGCCATAGATGCAGGCGAAACGTCAGGAGAGAATGCCTCTAGACCATGGCCATACAGCCCAAAAAAACCTACAACAATCCAACAACAATCATATCTCATCAGCCAAAAGCAGGCCGACACTTCCCTTTGAAATACTAATGTTCCTGTAAGTCAGCTCTTTTATTCGTCCAGCTCAGTATTTCATGTTGTATTGTGATTGAAGAAGTTCTTCTTGGGAGGGGTAATGAGGATCTTGGACAGGATCTCTTTCCAGCACAACTCAGAGTTGCTAACATGCGAACCAGAGATATTCTATAAACAATACACAGGGTACAAGTTGATAATTCATCTCACATACTGCCAAGATACAAACTAACCTGAGGATCACAGAAGTTGACTTGTTTCAACACATATCAACAAACACAAAGATAAGTATTGAATTAGAAGGCTATAACAAAATTTTAACTTTGAGATTCTGAAAATATAAGAGATTCCCAAGTACTTTATAGCCAGAAAGCTATTTGACAAACTTCTTGCAAACAACCAGTCACCTTCAGTACATTCTGCAGCTACAAATCAAATTTCCAAGTTCTGGACAAAGGCCCATTAAGAGCTGTACAGTTGAGTAGCTTCTACTGTATGGATGCCACTGTTTAGAGCCCAGATGGACAAAAGGGGAAAGTGTCCTGGGCGTGAATGTTCTATTCAGAAGTAAGTTGTTAAAATAGCCTGTATGTGAAGATGTTAAAAATGATATAAAGCGACAGCAGGACACCCTCTGAATACAAGATATTTTGAAGGATTTATTTTTAGAGTGATGATCTGCTCCTGAAAATGATTTCATGCTTTACCCCGGAAGTGAGGGCAAGAGGAGGTCGTAATCCACTTTATTACAACTTCTGATTCTATTACTTACCTCCAAGGAATTAGCAATAAATTCCTCCAGATTAATTCCTCTTTTTCATAGATATAACTAAAAAAACTGGTTAAGAGATAGGAACTGCATTTGGACATTATAATAATGCCAAAGAGTAAAAAAAAAATCTGTTTTATGCAAATACACACTGCTCGACCTCTTCAAAATAAAACGGTCTTGGATTACAGAAATTGGGAAATATATTTTTCATTAATAATTGATTCGCTTTACAGTGGTTGAAATAGTGGGGGCAAGAAGACTCTGTAGCTGAGGTAGATTACATTTCAAAGAGGCAACATTTTAAAAGTTCCAAATAATCAAGAATATAGACCTATAACTACAGTTAGCTACAAATCACTCCTCTCAACATTTGAAATACAACAGAGAAAGAGAAGGCAGAGCACACACAACTTGGAAAAGTAAGATGGGGCAAAGTGCTCATTTAATAGAAAATGCCCAGATTATGTGAACAAAAGATCTTTCCTCCAGTTTATTACAGGCCATTAAATAGATCATAGAGCAATAGCCAAGAATATTGTAACCAAATGCTTCTTTTCTAAAAAGAAGGAACCCATTTGGTGCACTGTTTAAAAAGCATTTCAGCTTTAACTTGATTTGTGCTGTAACTGAGTCCCTTCCCTGAGTGAAAGCTACATAAAATTGAAAATTATCTCTATTGATAAAGTTGGTACACAAATTACTATACAAAACCCTGGAAAGAAAATCCAGATTCTTTGGATTGTAGTGTACAAATTTAAACAATTTCAACCAGTCAGGGCTCACTAAAGCAAACTGAAGGCTAGTGCACAAGGATACAGTAATAAATTTCCATGTCTATGAAAAAACATATTGATCCACATTACTGGGTTTTTAAACCACCTGTGAACATAACCCTTGTTATTACACAGCCTCTAACCATAAAACTGAATGCCCCAATCCCAATACTGTATTATAAAGTAGTATAAAGTAGTATTCCTTTTGGCAAACCTGCCAAATTTGTGAAATTTGTGTCCATTTGCCATTACAGCCATAAAGAGACACCTTGTTTTTTTTCATGTATGGAACCTTACGATGTGAGAAATAAATAAATGAAATTTACCCAAAGTTGAGCAGAAACAGGGATATGTCATCTGACCTAATTTTGTGGGTTTGTTCAGTAAAGAACTTAACCATGTACATACAGTCAACATGATGCCATCAAACATATTCTGACAGTACTGTAACCAGACTACAAATATCCTTATCATAAAATCTGAAGACATTTATAACATTGGTTCAGACCTCAAAAAGCCAAAATCATTTTGAGTTCACTTAAAGAAAAAACATTTATCTGATAACTTACTGGTACTTTGAATGGAGACGTGTTTGATGCATCCATGGGATTTGTTTTGTCTGATGTGCTTGTCCCTGAGATACTCCGTCTTCGAGGAGACCTCTCGGCTGGGACCTCTGGGAGAAGGGAGAAAAAAAATGAAATATGTTTTAAAAAATGAAAGAATATATTATTCAATCACTAGCACATTTCTCACAAGGTGTAAGTTCTGAAAACTTTACATTACTCCATCTTTGAATTCCAGGCAATTCAGAAGACTTTGGCCACTTGGCAAAGTTACAACACATCTACTACCTGCAACACAAAATTCCCTGCTTTCAGTCAGGCATGAAGAGAGTTAAGACTCCGAAATACAATCTATGAAATGGAGAAGCTCCTAACAGATATTGCACTGAATACAGTTTAATTAAGTTCAGTTTCATGCAGATAATGATTTTGACTGATCATTCAGTCACTAACAACCTAGACATAATACAACCGTAATCATAAGGAGGTTCAGATGAGTTAAACTGTACTTACTCCAAATTATGCATGCTCAGTACTGCAAGGCCGTTGAAATAATCACACTCAAGACATCTTTGCAGATAAAGAAATAGGTCATTTTCTCTATGTCCTTATAACATGACCTAATCTATTACTTTTCATTCTACCTAATAGAGAATAGGTTCCCTCCTGTTTTTAACCATGTATGTACATATTTCATACAAAACAACAACAGATAGATACCTTTATCACAACTGCTGCCCATTTCCAGTTCAAAAGCCTACGCTTAAAGGAATCCAGCTTAACCGAGTAGTACTCCACACAGAAAAGGAAAAACCACATCCTAAGAAAAAATCCATTGTTATCTTCTGGGATGAGAAAGAAGGCAGCAAACTATGACTCCGGAGGCTGGCATTTTCTATTCCCACACTTCTCCTTTAAGGGGACCAATGCTGCTTCAACTTCCATTCCTAGCCCCATCGGCCGTTGCAATCTGTGCGACTTCCACTTGAGAAAAAGCCGGTTTTCTCACACTCTTCCCCCTCCCCTCACTACAGCTTGCAGACAGCAAGAAGGAAATGCCCGAGAGAAGACTGCAGCTATTCAATCAATCGCTCCAAACGCACATCCTCTTCATCAGTTACTTTCAGGCTCTTAACAGGCACCCAATGGCCCGCATTCCTCAGAATATTTCCCTATTCATTCTCATCCAGGGCATCAAAGGAGATCTACAATCAGTTGGTTCCACACACCGTTTGCTTCATTAGAAAATAACCACGAAAAGTCTCCAACAAATCCTTCTGCAACGTTTTCCTGTGATGCTGTCGGATTACAGGTTTTAATAGTTTTACTGCACCGTGCATCAAAGAAGTCTTGAAGAAAACAAAATTTAACATGATGAAGGGATGGGAGGCAAAAACAACCCCTTTGAGTCTGCTAAGCACTTCACCAGTGGAGGAGACTTCCCTTTTCATTTATATGTGAACCTTCAAGCTATCCAACAAACCTTTAAAAAAATCAAAAAGAGGGAAGGCAACATTTGGGAGCGCTTCAAAATTACTTGTCTAGAGGACCAAAGAAGAGATGAGAAAGACTGTGAGGAAGCAGAAAAAAGAACTCAGGAACACAGTTGCTTGACTTGGAAACAGCTCTTGGCATAAACCAGTGATTAACACAACATAGTTATCTCCCCTCATATACCCCTCCTCAACAATCCATGAACAGTTTGTTATTTCCTTGTTTCAAGATTCGTATTTTTTAAGTCTCTCAAAATCCTTTGTAGAGGTTCTTGATTTCATTCCAAATTGACGTCTTCATCTTTTGGAGCAAAAGAAGAGAGGAAAGAAAGAGATCAGCCCTCTTGTATAAAATGCTTTGTAGAACATTGTAAACGTAATTTTCTTTCTTGGAAGAGAAGAACAAGTAAAACAAAAAGCAGTGCCCCTTGGGAGAGAAAGGGCCAAAATACGTTGCTCCACTCCGGTGGTGCAGGAGGCATAATGAAGTATTGCAGAGAGACTTGGCTGGTTCTGCTACATGCTCACTGGGGAAAAAACTGCTTGCCATCATCAAAGCATCTCTAATAATTCAGCACAGTCTGCTGGATTTTGCAGCGTCACACATGAAGATTTAGAAGCCTGCATCCTCCTACTAGTGTTAGCAATAGATTGACAGTTGTCGGCAAAAGAATGCTGGTTTAAACTAAGCCAAAAGAACAGAGAAAAATCCACACTCGCTCAGTCAACTCCTGTCTACGAGAAATACATGACCTTCAGACAAGCCTCTTGGGTGGCTTGTGAGCTTCGGATTTCAGAAAAGCTTTCCATGCACATTAAAAAGAGGAGGACAGTGCTTACAAATAGATCAGATAAGACTTCAAGAGGTGAACTGATAGACCCGGCATAGCAAAATGAGAAATCAGCAATTAGCTGCCGTAGGAACTTTCAACTGTACACAGCCATACTTAAAACACCGCAGCTGCAGATGCTGCTTCTGTGCCCTTAAAACAGCTTTTCTGCTGAGTAGGGTGGAAAATCTATACTGTGGCGACTAGGCCAAAATTAGATTGCTGCCCTCCTCTCCCCATGTGTGCTACATAGTGCTTCTGCATTATTTTCACCTGCTGTAAAATCAATGCATCTCTCCATCTTAAAATATTAAATTACCACAATTCCCTGCATGAGTCAGTCATGGCACACTGCTTATGTCCAGGCTGAGGCATAGAACGCACCATCTCTTCAAGTCAAAAAGAAACCAATAACCTCTTCCTCCTCTGAAGAATGGGGCCATCATCACCCATGCACAAGCACAGCTGTAAGTGTATACATCTTCCAAACACATGTGTTGTGGCAGTGCATTAACTCAATGTTATGCTTACAAATGTTCTGCTTAGCCAAGTAAAATTAATAAACTGAAACAAGCTTTTCATAAAATGTGGAAGCCTTATAATACAAATTAAACAATAATATATAGGAGCCCTCGGTGGCGCAGTGGGTTAAACCCCTGTGCCGGCAGGACTGAAGACCAACAAGTCGTCGGTTCGAATCTGGGGAGAGCGCAGATGAGCTCCCTCTATCAGCTCCAGCTCTTCATGCAGGGACATGAAAGAGGCCTCCCACAAGGGTGGTAAAACATCAAAACATCCAGGCGTCCCCTAGGCAACATCCTTGCAGACAGCCAATTCTCTCACACCAGAAGCGACTTGCAGTTTCTCAAGTCGCTCCTGACACGATCAAAAAACTAGTACATATACTTATTGCCCAGTTTCTGGAGGGGCTTCCCCCCCCCCCCGCTTTCATCCCTGCTATCCCTTATTTTACTTCTTCCCCTCATATCTTTTCCCTTCCTTCTTGCCACCCTTCCTTCCTCCTTTTCTCTCTTCTCTGGCTCTGAAAGGAGCCTACCTTACAATGTCTGCAACATGTCCTCTTTGTGGCTCTTTCCTCCATTCCTTTCCCCATTCACCTCATTGACATACAATGGGTTAAACCCCTGTGCCAGCAGCACTGTTGACTGAAAGGTCGGCGGTTCGAATCTGGGGAGCGTGGTGAGCTCCCGTCTGTCAGCTCCAGCTTCTCATACAGGGGCATGAGAGAAGCCTCTCACAGAATGGTAAAACATCCGGGCATCCCCTGGGCTGTTGCAGACAGCCAATTCTCTCACACCAGAAATGACTTGCAGTTTCTCAAGTTGTTCCTAACACACACACACAATACATTTGTCACCTTCTTTTCCATTGAAATCAAAGGGTCACTTCCCCCAGCAACAGCCAATCCTTCACCTTGCAACGGCCAAACCAGTGACATCACAGGAGGCCACTTCACCAAGAATTTAATAAATCACTGGGAACAACAGGAAACGAGCTTTCCTGAATTCAAAGTGTTAAGTGTTTTATATATTGTAGAACACTGTTCAGCAAGGCAGTGATAAAATATGAAAATCAAATTTAGCCCTTTTAAAATCCAGTCGCCAAGGGATCTATCAAATATCTAGCCAGCAGGGATATGAATTTCCTGTAAATAGGTATTTTGATTATAGACCATCTATCTTTTAAAAATACTTCTCCAGCCATCAGAGTCTCCGTACATGAGGAGCGTGATTTAAATTACAACTCCCCTGTTGTAATTCAAATCAACACTCAAGATCAGTGTTGTAGATCAGAGTGAACAGCAAAATGAAGGACATTAGCAGAGGTTGGTCTGACGGTGTTGCTGCAGAAGAGGGCATAGAAAGCAAGGAATTTTTGCATAAAGTCAAACTAGATGGAAATGTTTAATTCTCTTTAGAAAATTAAAAAAACCTCTTGAGGCCATTCCAACATGAAGCCTAAGCATAAATCTACCTGAACATAAAGTCTTTTCACTTATGTAAGGATCATAACAAATCTACACTTCTCATTTCAAAGAGGTATGGACATGTTGTAGTTCATTGTAGTCTGCAACAAAGTTAAACACATTTCAGGTGAAGAAAAAGGAACCTATTAACACACGTGCCGAATGCAAGGCCCATGGGCCAAATCTGGCCTGCCATGTCATTTTATGTGTCTCATGAGGCTTTCAATGCCAGGGCAACATAGTTACATTTACAAACAGCCCCTTGAAGGCAACAATAAGGCTGATGTGGCTCTCACTGAAAATGAGTTTGATGTCCATGTGTGAGGATAACATCAGATTGATAACAACTGTAAATGTGGAAACGTCTTCCACTATGTAACAAAATTCTATTTTTTTCTGTTCCTGGTTTGAAAGTGATATTTCCTGCTTAATTGTGTGGTACTTACTTTGAAAGTAGTTGTTACACTCCAAAAACTTTGTTTTTGTGGCTACCACAATTTGTAATTTTGTAATTTTCCTTCATGAAAACATGCCATTTTAAACCATTCATTGTGCATTTTTCCAATTTCATAAACTTTCCCCATGTTTTTATGACAGAACCAATTACGAAATGGCATTTACAATCCAGAAACAAAATCGTGTTACATAGTGTAATCAAGAGAAGGGCCCAAAGTCTTTTACCCATTTCCATTTTCTTGATGCAAACTATGTCTGAATTTGGTGTTTAATCTGTAGAGGAAATCTTCGATGTCACCACTACATTGCTGGCTGGCTTCCTCATATTCAAGCAGCTTTTAAAG